CGTGTGTTATTTAATTATATACCATGTGTTTTGCTTTTTTTTTTTAAGAACTATATTGAGATCCCAAAAAAGGAAAAAAATTACTAAAAACTTTCAATAACACTCTAAGCAGCTTATAATGACAAGTTTAGAGTATAAAATGATAACTTCTGGTATTTGTTTTGTAATTTTTTTTTTGGAATCTCATTGTAATTCTCCTTTCTTTCTTCCCCTATTGCCTGTGTATTTCTTTTATTAATATATAAAAGACAACCACTTCAATTGATATTGGACTTGATAACTATACAAAATTTGAATTTGAATTTTCATAATTAGGTAGTATTATTTGATTTAAAAATTTTACAGTATTTCTAATTTAAATATATTTTATCCATTAAATATAATTTTTTTGCTATTATGATAATTTAAAATTATTATATTTTATAAATTCATATTTTTAATTATTTTTTGTTATTTAATAAAAGTCATACTCATTTTGGTCATACAAACTAAACTTACTTATCCAACCATAATCCAAACAATTTTCCTTCTTTAAAAACTAACTTTTATAAAAGTCAATCCAAACATAAATTACGTTATTCAATCTAATATTTTTAAAAATCAGATTGAAAATAATTTTTTTTTACCACCAATCTAAACGAAGCCGTAAAAAAAGGCAAGCACTAAATGTGAATTCGAAGGGGATTATGGATTTTTTCCCCAATTTAATTTAGAGTAAAGAAAGGGGGCTGTGAAGTTAATTTAAAGGATTTTTTTAATTTTAGTATATGGATGTAATTTTAATATGAAATAATAAAAATTTTAAATATTAGGAAAAGATGAGTGATCCATTTACAAGTTCTTGAAATCAGTATTCTTGATGTAATTTACTAAGTCACCTACTCATTATGGTAATTCTTTTATTAATTATAATTTTATAGGTAATTTTCACAACCCAAAGCATCACTTTTAAATTTGGAGAATATCACCATGATAAGGGATGTGTTTTTCCTAAAGTGAAAACTCTTTATGTAGAAGGCTCTCAGAATGAAGGGATAACCTTTCCCTGTAACTCTCTAAGAAGATTTCCCAAGTTGGAAAAGCTTTATGTGGAGCATTGTTCCTTTGAGGAGATATTTCCCTCACACAACCATATTCTTGATTTTATGGGGAAAATCCCACTATTTCAGGAATTATGCATTGCCTATTTGGACCAGCCCAAGAGCATATGGAAAGATGATTCTCAACTACCAGTAATGCATCAAAATCTGAAATACACTGAAATCAAAAGTTGTTGTAATTTGGTCAAGTTGGCACCATCCTCTGCTTCATTTCAAAAATTGAGAATGCTGTTTGTACCCATATGTGATCGGCTCATCCATTTAGTGACAAGTTTGACTGTTAAAATTTTGGTGAGTCTTCTATTTTTTAAGATAAATGGTTTGCTAAAAAATGGAAGAAATTGTAATGAATGAGACCATTGAAGATGTAGAAGGTGGAATCACATTCAACCAACTCCAGAGAATCGAACTTACTGATATGCCAAGCTCGAAGATGTTTTCTTCATGAGGTTGCACCTTCGAATTTCCAGAATTAAAAGTGATACAAATAATTGGATGCCCTGAAATGAAGAAGCTTTGTCCAGGAATGTTGGAAACAACAAAGTTGACTAAATTGAAAATAGAAGAGCATGAGATGGAATGGAAGGATAAAGGAGACCTTAAAAAACAGTAGAAATGCTATGCTCATCAAAGGTATGATATATCCACACTAACAAATATTGTTACGAAAAATGTATATTTAATTATTAAGGAAATAGAGAATTGATTATGTTATGCTTATGCCAACTTCGTCTTTCTTTAAAATTACAGTTTTTTAGGCTAACCAATACTATGATTTGGTACTGCAGGATAGTGTTAATATATGGAAGGTTCAGTCCATCATCCATGTTATCATTTTCAGGCTGGTTAGTTTTATGATTTTTTCCTGCTTATTGTCTATCTTTTTCTCCAGTAGTTATTATGAAATCAATAAAAGCCTCATATATGAAGGGAGGAAGCATAATAAAAACTGGCGTCTTTTTTAATTATTTGTATCATTTTCCTACATTTGTCTATGCTTTCCTATCACTAAAAAATAGAGTTGCTTGTTGAAAATTATTTAAATATTTCTTCTCCAATAATAGTTACTATAATATCAACAAATGCTACATATATTAAGGGATAAAACAGATCGGGGCCAACTTTTTGTGCATGTGTTTTTTAAACTTTATATATGTCAATTTTTCTTTGTTTCTATACATTCTCTCTATTGTATCGATTGAGTTAGTGAAAAAAAATAAAGTGAACATATTTTGCTCATTTTGAAAAGATTAATTGTGATTAAGGAGAAAAGAACCAGCTGGCATGTTTTTTCCCCCCACAAAAGATTATTTTGATACTATTTGACCCAATTTTTTCACTAATATGCTACATATTTGCAGACTAGAATCATAAAAAACATAAATTTTTTGACACATTGGCTACAATATGATTATGCTACTATACATAATAACATGGATATACTCAAAATATAAACATATGCCTTTTTACTTTCCTTGCTTGATTACTGCAAATATACGTTGTTGGGAATAATGTTGACATTTGATGAAGAATGTGGACAGATGTTTGTACAATGATGCTTTTGGTGAATTCTCAAGTGATATGTTTTACCAGTTACATATGTTCAATTATATTTGATAATAAATGAGACTTTGTTCTTGTCATAAACAATATTCCCAGTTTCCTGCCAATAAATTGTGTGGTCAATGGCTTAGCCCTGGTCAAAAATCTCCCCTTAAAGCGTGGCTTGTTTTATTATGTACTATGACTCTAATGTATGAAGGATCCAGAAATTTGCTGTGTTGTGATTGTGAAGTTTTTGTTCAACAACTTTGTGGTTTCTATTAAATAATTGTCTATGGTGCGTCCAGTATATATGCTTGTGTTGTTATTATTTCGGGTTTATATTAAATTTCCCATTTGACAAAATTTAAGGTGTTAATCATAGATGAAGTATTGATGCTACCATATGTTAAAGGTTGACATGTTTTGCTGGCTACTTGCAGAGAAAATTATGTTCAAGGACCAAATTAACAAAATTTTTATCCCTTAATATGGGTCTCGAACATGTAAAATCATTATGAAGGCACATGGTCTTGGTTGTAAAATTAAGTAATGTATGAAAACAAATCCTTGTGTTATAACATGGAAGTGGTATATGTATACATATACATACATATATATATAGTCTTGACGAAGTGCGAGTGTTAAATAATGAAAGCTGGAATTATAATTTTTTGTTGTTACAGCATTAATTAGTATACTACCTCTGGCCCTTAATATAAGACCTTGTTTGACTTTTATTTTGATTCTAAATATAAGACCACAATCCACTTTGTCTATCATATTTATGTATTTTTTGCCAAAATAATCCTTCTAACAATATTAGTTCTGATCAGTACACTTGATTAGTAAGGATATTTTTGGAAAGACAACACTCATTTATTTCAATTAACTAACTTAACTTATTTCCTTAATCTTCTCAAATTAGTCAATTAGCTTTTATAATTAGGACCGGAGGTAGTACTTGCCAATTTCTCTCCAAGTTATTTCTATAACAGCGTTAGAGAATTGAGAGCAAATTCCGTGCTCATTATAGTGATGAGTATGAATTGCTCATTTTAAATCGGACCATCCAGATTCATTTTGAACGGTCTAGATTGAATTTGAATTTTTTTATATATTTTGATTAATGTTTTATGTTAATAAATACAGAATTCAAAATAAGAATAATCTTATAGCTAATATTTTTTTAAAAAATAAATTTATCATTGAAAAAAATTATATATTAAAAATTTTAAATCTTAACCATCCATTTCAGATTTTGAATCATTTAGATTATATTACACTGATGAGCATTGAATGAGGACTCATTAGAATCTGGTGAAATGTGAAGCATGAACCATTGCCCTCCCCTCCCATTACTCCCTGTGAATACTTTATAAGAGAGCAAGGAAAAACATATATATATATATATATATATAAAAACTTTTCACTTACTTAGGAGCAAAATTCACATGACGAATTCTTAGTAGTCAAAATGCTGTGTTTTCGAATGAAAGAAAGGGTAATTACAGAGTAAATGAGGTATTTCTGAATTTAGCCTTTCTAAATATTGCCTTCTTAATTTGTTACTTCACAAATAAGACAATTCTCAGTTTTGTCAATGACAACATTGTCTTTTTAATTAGATTTTTAAGATATAGATATTTCTCAATAAGTTTTGTCAATGACAACATAGGTGTTGAAGGCGAGTTTCTGGAATTTGGTTTCCCTTGGTGGGTTCGAACACTTCTTTTCCAAAGCCTAAATATATAAACTTTCATATAAACACATTTACAAATCACTCGATTTACAAGAGAAGTGTACCATTACGGGGATGCCGAGGACAGAACAGATGAACAAAGGGAAGGTTGAAACTCGAAAGTGATCCGACGGAGTGGCCTAGTTCAGGTTCAATAATTCTTTTCGGCGAAAATTCAAAGTGGTCCCCCGCACCGCTAATTGGATCAGTACGAATATTAGTATATGGTCGACTCGTGGCTCGTTAAGGTCCTCTACTTAAAAGTATCTGCAATTCCCTCGGAAGCATCTAAAGTTGCATGGAAACCATGCAACAAAAGAGTGCCTACAAGCATGTTCGTTTCTGCTGTGACTTAGTTTTTTTTTTTTAAACTGATTTTCTAGATTTTACAAGTTTTCTGATTTTTTTATCATTAAATTATGTTTCTGATCTAGTGAAGGCATTTTTATTTTTCTTTAATTTATAGGAACCTTAGCCGTTATATATATATATATATATATATATATAATCTTACAAATTAGACGTACTTATACATTATCATTATGTTCAAAATAAGTTAGTTGCTTGTCATTTTTGAAAAGAAGGACACGGATGCTTATGAATGTGTGGGCAGAGCAATGAGATTGGTACGTGACTTCTGGGAGGCTGATGCTAGGAGGAAAAAAAGGTGTGTATCAGGTGGGGTTGTGGCAAGGAAGTTGAACTGGATATTGCCTGAGAAAAATACTATTAAATTGAATATTGACGCAGCTTTTAGTAAAGAGAGAGGAAAAGCCTCCGTAGGCATGGTTGCAAGAAATGATGAAGGTAGCTTTGTTGGTGGTTTTGGGAAGGAGGTAGTAGCAGATTCTGCGTTCATGGCCGAAAGTATGGCTCTGCTTGGGGCTTTAGAATGTTTTGATAAATTTAGCAGTGGGAGAGTAGTGGTGGAGACCGACTGTCAAATGCTATTTGACAAGCTACAGAAAAAGGAGATAACAGGATGTGAGTGGAGCTGTGAGGATATTCTGCAGAAGTGTCTCGTTTTGCTTGAGGATAGGTATAATTGGGTTCTGTCTTTAGTTGCAAGGAAAGGGAACAAGGCTGCTGATCATCTGGCGGCTGGAGTTTTGAGAAGAGTGGTACCGCAAGGATGGTTCAATGAACCACCACCTTCTCTGGAACCTTTGTTGCAGTTAGATTTAGTGCACAGATTGGATGAGGAGGAGGGTAGGTCTGGAGTTGGTTAATTGCTTTCAGTTTGTTTGTTGGCTTCTTTTCCTTTCTGTTTCAGTTTTTCTGTCTTTTGGTACCTTCTTTTGTCGCTTCTGTTTTGGCATTGTGCCAGTTAGTATGTGTTCTGTTTCGTGCTTCTTAATAATATGGACTATTCAGCTCAAAAAAAAAAAAGTTAGTTGCTTGTCATTTTCCCCTTGATAAATAAACCTTCACATCTGCTTCTCCGCAGTTTCACAAATCCTCTATATTCTCCCTTCTTCTTTCTATTGCTTTCTCAGCTTCTTTTACTTCATCATCTCTGTAATTCCCTTTGTATTATATATCTCCACTTTCTGATTTTCTTTTTCCTTTCTCTTTTCTCAACCAAAAAAAAGAAAAAAAGAAATCCTGAATTTACTGCTTTTTGCAGTTTTTTTTTGGCTGGCGCATCTCTGTTGTTGTGATTATTTTCAACTTTATTTTGCTGGTTGTGATATTTCTTTAAAAAAAATCCCAAAGATAATTAAAAAAAACTGCTCTTTCTATTTGTGACGGCTCATATATCTCCGGAAAATCTGGTTAAAAAAATATATATCTCCGGAAAAAAAAAAAAGAATAGTTATTCTAGTGATAGCCCTTATATTTTTCAGTTGGTACTATTTTTTAATGCAACCTAATGCCCTAACCTATTGCCACCTATTGGCAGGTGGTATGCTGGGTTGCCGGCTTCATTTTGTTTTTCATTTTTAAAAAATATTGATTATTATATTGATGCATGGTAGCGTTCGGTACACCGTACACCAAGAGCCACCTCACTGTGTCTCATTAAAAATATATTTAAGAGGTAGAACCAAACGCTGCCTTCAATGTTTTGTGAAAAAAATAATTATCTAGGACGTCGCTACCTCTGGATGAAGCACCTTTTTTTAAAGAAAAAAATTATAAGCAATACCAAACGCTTTCCCATTATTTTTTTTTTCCAAAAAATAATAGAGCACTAGCTAAGTACTGCAGTTTAGCATAAAAAATTTAATTAATCTTTCAAAAAATGCCTTTACTTTAAAGCTACCTTGTTGTATTTAATTGGTGTGGAAGCAAAAGGACAAATTCGGTGGAGAATCAGTCCTTTGTTTAATCCGTGGGCGGTGAGCATACTAACATACAATTACATTACCCATACTATAAGGAGCCACCGTTGTCATACTACGTCGTTTTTCTTTTTAATTGTTCTGAGTCTCCCACTTCATTGTCATGTTACGTCGTTTTTTTTTTTTTTAATTGTTATGGGTCTCACAATTCATTGTCATAATAGGTCATTCTTTTTTTTTTGGGTAGTATAATAGGTCATTGTTTTTATTATTAGCTCTATTCAATTTAGACGCTCCATCATTGACTTCTCTATGCAATTGAGACTTTGCCATCTTCTCCTCCCAAAGCTTTTGATCTGCTTCATCTTTCATAGTTTCACATCACTAGCTACTACTTTCTCCTTCTGTGTTCTCAACTTTTTCTTCAACATCTTTTCTGCAATTTCCTTGTTATTTTCTGGATTTTTTGGTCTTCAATTCCTTTCTTCGTTTCATATTAAAAATGACAAGAAAAAACTCCTAAATTTGCTCCTCTTGCATTTTTTGCTGGGAGTACTTCTCCTTTGTTTAGTTCATTTTCAGCTTTAATTACTTTGCTGGTTTTGAATATTTCCTCAAGAAGAAAAAACCCTACAAAAACTGCACGTAACATTTCTATAAACTTATTTCTTTTCGGAAAAAAGCGTTATTTCCTTTGTTTTTATTTTCTTTGAGCTCGTCTTCTTCTCTTATTTTACTTGTTTAGTTAATGTTGTTTTCCTGTTTGTTTTTACAATATTCCTCGTCTTCCTCTTAAAATCTTTTATTTGTGTGGAGCATTTGGTTCTTAAAGTTATTCAAAACACCCAAAAAAAAAAAACGGAAGGGCAAAAAAAGGTGGGCGTTGATCTGTGTTGAAGCACTAGGGAAGCTGATTACTGTTGGTAGATCGGAGGTTTATATACATTCAGATTGTGAAGTTTCATATCCATTATTGTAAGTTCAAATATACACACACAAACACCCACATATCTTAGACTGCCAGTGTTTAATTGTTCAATGATATGCTTGCCTATGACCTTACTTCACCTACATGCTGACCTGTTCTAGAATTTCAAATATCTATTTGCACAAAAGGAGGAGAAACAAAGTATCATGATCATATTTTAGTATTGTAAATGATTTGACTACTAATAATTTAATATTGTCATTTTGTGATTATTGGAATCAACTCATTCTTTCTTAATTTTCACACGGTGAAGAAAAAAAGACAGAAGAAGAGAGGGAGATCAAGTTTTCATTTTTTTTAATTCAGATAAAAAAAAAAAGGTGAGCCTTTTGTTTTCCTGGTTGAGTTTTGGCTATATCTTTTTAGCACAGACAACAAATTAAAGTTTCGTTGACAAATACTAATTGATATAATGGCTTTTTATGTCATTTTTTATTCTAAAACTGTAATTTTGTTAATTAAGAGGATTCAATTTATTTATAAGGATTGGAATTTTGGAATAAAATAAGAGTACCAAATGAATATACAAAAGTATGGAAGAAATTTTTTGGCGAATAAAATATGGTAGAATTTTATTGCCGTGAGTTTCTTATTTACAAAGCGTACAAAAATTTAGTGATTATATTAAAATAATAAAAAATAAGTTACGTAATTAGTGTTGATTATTAATTTAATTAATTAGAATTATTGTCTGATTTTAAAATTCAAAATAATTTGAACTAATTCGAATAACTTGTGATTATTCTCCTAAATAATAGGAAAATTATAGGATGTGATGAGAGAATATAGGGGGGTCTGGATAGGAGAAATCTCAGCCTTTTTAAATTTATATTTTAGTATTTAGTACTTTTAAATAATTCCATTTTTTAAGATTCTCTCTAATAAATATCATTTTCACTTAGTCCCTCTCTCTAATTTTATTTTCCCAATTCAATAATTCTCTTCAGCAAGAATTCAAAGTTGTCACCGCACAGCTGATCGGATTTTGGATCAATAAGAATATTACCATATGGTTGACATGTGGCTCCTTGTGGGCTTTCATACTTACTATCTCCAGTCCTAATTAAAAGACCTCATTTATAATCTATAAAAGAAGTGTTATAAATAGAACCAGAGATAGTAATTAAAAGTAGGCTCAGAGTTACTACCTCCGATCCTTAATCTAAAGCTGGATGTAAACCATACAAGAAAGTAGTGTCTCTAGCTTATTCGTTTTTGCTTTGACTTAGTTTTCTTTTCTTTTGTTTTTCTTTTTTTTTCTTTTAACCGATTTTCTAATATGTTTCTGATCTAGTGAAGGTATTTTCTTTCTCTCTTTTTTTTTCTTAATTTTATATTAACCTTGGCCGTTATATATAATTTTACAAAGTAGGCGTAGTTATGCATGGTGATTATGTTCAAAATAAGTTAGTTGCTTTCAGCTCAAAAAAAAAAAGGGAAAAGAAAAAGAAAAAGAAAAAGAAAAGCTAGTAGCTGGTCATTCTCCGCTTGATAAATACATAAAGAAGTCACCATGTGGAAATAAGAAGTTAATGTTAAAATGACGCACAAATAATTCTCCTAAACCGTAGAACGTGTTTTTTCCCTACTGGTACCACTACTACTGATAATAATAAGAATTTTATATTATTTTATGATGGTTGACACGTGGCGCCTTGTGATTCCCAACCTCTACTCTTCTTTTTCCATCCCCTTCCTCTCTTCCTTTATTTAACTCTTAGATTAATATTTTAATGGTTTAAATTAATTCTAATGGTTTACAAATGCACTGAATGTTTTTATTTTTTTTATTTATAAATAGTTTATAAAACATTAAAATTTGAGCTGTTAAAATATATTAATCTAATAGTTAGAAAAGGAAGAGAAGGGAAGAGCATAGGAAGAGAAGGGGAGAGGTTATCTAAAGTTGCGTGGAAACCATTTATAACAAAGTAGTGAGTACTCAAGCTTATTCGTTTTTGCTGTGACTTGGTTTCATTTTTTAAACTCATTTTCTAAATTTTCCGATTTTTTACCATTAAATTATGTTTTCTGATCTCGTGAAGGCATTTTTATTTTTTATTTAATTTATAGGAACCTTGGCCGTTGCATGTAATTTTACAAATTAGACGTCCCTATACATTGTTTGGTTCAAAATAAGTTGGTTGCTTGTCATTTTCCCCGTCATAAATACATAAAGAGGACCGTGTAGAATGGCAATTAAGTACTAGTTCATAAAAAAATTAATGCTAAATTGGGATTTTTTTTTTTAAAAGAGAGTACTAAATATGAGGAATCTGACCATAAGGAGTTTGAAAATTTGTGTAGTGATGAGAGTTTGATTAGTGATATTAATTAACTTGTTTTATAAGGTCATAGATTGTCATGCAATATTATCCCAATAGTATAAACCCTACAGCATTGACCAGGTTGGATTGACTTGACTCCCATCTAAACCAGAGATTTTGTAAAGCTTCAGATTTGCTTCTGCTTCTTCTTATCTATGGTTTCACAAATCTCTTACTTTCTTCCTTCTGCTAATTTCTATTGCTTTCTCAGCTTCTTTGTTTATTTCATCATCTCTGTAGTTTCCTTTGTGTTGTATATTTCCACTTTCTGATCCCTTTTTTCCTTTGTCTTTTCTTGACCCAAGAAAAGAAAAAATTTCCTGAATCTACTGCTGTTTGCATTTTCTTTGCCAGCACTTCAATTCTTTGCTGTCGTGATCATTTTCAACTTTATTTTGCTGGTTTTGTAATCTTTCTTCAAGTAGACAAAAATCCCGAAAATAATTTTTAAAAAAACTGCTCTTTCAATGTGTGACGGCTCATATCTTTTAAAAAAAAAAAAAAAAGACTCGTTGTTCCCTGTGATTTTATCTTTGATGAGTTCGACTTATTTTCTTGTATTTTTATTGCTTAGTTGATGTTGTTTTTCCTGTTTGATTTCACAGGTTCATCATCTTTCTTCGAAAACTTTTAGATTTTATCGTTGTCTTGGATTTTGTAAAATATCAGTTTCTTAAAGTTGTCCAAAACACCATTAAAAAAAAAAAAAAAAGAGGTCTCTCATGCTTGATCTCCATATTGGAACACTGAGGGAAGCTGATTACTGTTGGGAGATCTGAGGATCATATAGCTTGAAATTGTGAAGGTTCACACCGCCCACTACTGTAAGTTTGAAAATGTGGATTTATGCCAAAGTCAGTCTCTGTTTAATTGATTTGTATTTACAAAGTTCAATTGTGTTTCAACTTTTGCAGCATATTCTTGTGTTTTTAAATATAGGGAGCAGCAGCAAGAAGAAGAAGAAGAAGCGTGTTCCAGCCATAGTAAAGATACCTAAGGTGAGTCTCCCTCATTTGAATATTTGAATTTTTTTCTTTCAAAGTTCTCATTTAAATATAGGTGTGGCTCCCTCAGCTTTACATGATGTCTATTGGTTTTGAAGATACTCTTTTGCATGTTTTTTAAGTAAAATACAAGGGGTTTTCTAACCAAATATATATATATAGGCTAAAGTATATATTTGGTCATTTAACTTTATGTAAATACAGTTTTGTCTCTCAACTTTAAAAAATATACTTTTAGTCCTTTAATCCTAAAATTTTTAGTTTTAAATGATGATTTTTTTTTAACAATCATGATTGTTTTGAAAATTAAACTTAATATATTAGCATCTAGTAATGTTTTATCAACATTCAAGAATTTAATATTATCATTTTTGTCACCAATTTTAGGGTTAGAGGACTATAAATTTATTTTTTAAAGTTAAGAGATCAAAATGAAATATTGTGTAAAGTTAAAGGATTAAAAGTATACTTTAACCTATATAGAAAGACTGAGTAATTAATTTTTTTGTAAAAAGTATCATTTTACTTCTTGATTCCATTTTTAACATCATTAAAAATATTTCCATAAAAATTTGAAAGTTTTCATTAAAGAGAAATATTTTGGTACAAAATGTGTAATTAATATTATTGTGTGCGAAAATATAATCTTAAAAGTATAAAGCAGGTTTGTTTTGTAAAAATTTAAATTTTATAAGTTTATACATTTTTTAAAAATAAAAGAATTCTTTCTAATTAAATGCAAAATAAAGGGGACGTCATGCATACTTTTTTAACTTCAACGACATCCATTGGCTAATAATAACTTGTGTCTATAAAAAATTTTTCCCCTTCATCTTTTATGAGATCGCTGGTGCATTAACGTTTTAAGAAAAGAAAAGTAATCCTTCTTGAACCAAAAAAGTAAATTTTCAACCCTGTTTTCCAGCTTCAGTGATATCTACTAATGATAGCTTATGTTTACAAAAGTATTTCATTTTTTCTTATTTTTGGTTTAAAATTTAAACCTTCAGCATTTCAATGTATTTAGTAATGCTATTTTCTAACTCCAGTTAAAGCTTAAAATGAAGTAATATTATTTAAATGAGAGTAAATAAAATTAAAAATGAAAAGGGAGGGTGAGATTATGCAAAATTAAAATAGAGAGATGAAACTTAAAAGTCATAAGCGAGAGAGAGAGAGAGAGAGAGTTGAGAGACAGAAGGGAGCGCGCGTGCAAAAGTAAAAGAAATATATAAATGTCTGCAATAAGTATGGGTCTCACCATGTGAATCGGACTATCGGAGGATATTAATTAGTCAAAACATAGGTTACATGGCCTCCTCTTGCAGAACCTAAGAATTTCTTAAGAAAAGCAATTTCTTTTGGGCCCACGAAAAGCGTGGTTTAATGCTTACAAATAGATAAGACTTTGATATTTTAAAAAATTTCATATACCTTTCTGTCCTTTTTTTTTTCCAATAATTTCATATGCTTCTAAAATTGCAATGATGTTTTACAAAATACTCTAGTATTAGCTAAAAAGAACAGCTAGTGATACCTTTGGACTTCTCATTTTTCTTCCCGACACTTTGAGATGACAAAATAGATCAGTTCCTCCAACTTTTTAGCCCAGTTTTTCCACCCAAAGTACAGCTTTTTTATCAAAATATGATAAACAGTAAAACTATATACTAAAATACTATACTTTTAAAACTATTTATCAATATACTGCACTTAAAATCGTTCTTGGCAAAAGCGACTTTCAAATTACACACAAGTCGTTTTTTGCGTGAACAATTTCAGAAATCGTTCTTGGCATAAACGATTTCACTTTTAATTTTTTTTTTAAATCAAAAAGTAAAATCGTTCTTGGCGTGAACGATTTCTGAAATAGTTCACGCCAAGAACGATTTCACTCTCTGCCTTGTATGTAAAAATAAGAATCCCAACAATGCTCCCGTGAGGCTATAACATATATAGTAAATATTACTTCATCTGACTTATATTGGATTAAAATTTGAAAACCCTAGTTTTTAAATTTTTTTCACATAGAGCTTGATGAAATTTTCTATCATTTCCTCTTCTTTTTATCTTTCTCATACCAAACAGTACGTAATAAAAAGAAGTTATGTTTTGATTGTAAATTTTTAATTGTAGCAATTAAGTTGTAAGACTAAATTATTATTATTATTATTATTTTGGTCACAGGCATAAAAGGCCCATGCCCAATACTTGATTTCTTGTCAAACCGAACAAATGCCACACGATAGGCTTTTTTACCAAAATACTACAAGCAGTAAAGTTATATATCAATATGCTGCACTTTTAAAAGTTTTTAATGATATATTACACTTAAAATTGGTCTTGGTGAATAATTTTTAAAATCATTTATCTAGTGAACGACTTTTTCATAATATGTCCTTGATGTGCGTGAGGTGAATGAAAATCGTTCTTCTAGTGAACAACTTCAAAACTTTATCTGCTGTTGAATGACTTCTCCCCTTCTCTCCTGATTAAAATGATTAGTATAATGATTTATCAATCATTTGAATGACAAAATCATGACTAAATAATGAGAGAAAAATGTTATAATGATGTTAAAACTAATTGTGAAATAAGTATAAGATGTATATTAATTAAAAATAAAAAGTAATAAATAAAGTTTAAGTTTATAATGATGCTATATTTTTGTTGGTTCTCTCTGTCTTCTTTCACAATTACACAGCATTCCTTACTTCTTGTTTCTTGATTTCTCAACTTGTTCTTAAACATTTTTTCTGCAATTTTTGTTTTCTGATTTTTTTTTTCTTTCTCTTTTTCTTATTAAAAAATAAAAGAAAATCGTAAGTTTTCTCCTTTTGCATTTTTTGCTGGCACTTTTCCTTTATTGCGATCATTTTTAACTTTGCTGGTTTTTTATGCTTCTTCAAGAAGAAAGAAAACTGCACTTTAAATTTATGTCCTAATTGTTTAATGATAAGCTTGCCTATCACCTTACTTCACCTGTATGGTGACGTGTTCTAGAATTTCAAATATCTATTTGCAGGGGGTGCAAAATTTAGTGATCATGTCTTGATATTGCATAAATGACAAAAATACTCTGACTGCAAATAATTTAATACTGTCAATCGCGATCATTTGAATGACCAAACTCTTGATTTGATTTCCACAGGGTGAAAAAGGAAAGACAGGGAAAAGGGGAAATCAAGTTTTCATCGTCATTAATTAAAAAAAGGTGAGACATTTGTTTGAAGGGTGCCAATATTTCTGCATCAATTCACAACCCAAGTTTAATTGAGTTTTGGCTATGTTTTCAACAGAGTGCACATTCAATGGATATCACTTGCGGAACATTGAGTAGTTTGGTTGACAAGTTCCGGGATCTAGTGATCGATCTAACTTGGGAGCAGCTTCGTTATCTGTTTCAGTATCACAGAAACATTGAGGAGCTCAATGAACGACTTAAGGAACTCACCCTTGAAAGAAGCTCCAAACAACAGCAAATAGATAATGCTAGAAACAATTTAGAACAAATTGAAGAGAAAGTTCAGCATTGGTTGCGCAAAGTAGATGAGATTTTAACGCAAACACAAATGTTTCATGAAGAAGAGAGTCAAGCAAAAACAGAGTGTAGCGTAACTTCCTGTCCCAACCTGTGGCTACGTTATAAACTAAGCAAAAAAGCAAAGGAAATGGCACAAGAAGCTGTTGAAATCTATGGAAAGAGAATCTTTGATAGAGTTTCATATCCTGTTCCTCCTGTATCGATGCCAGAATTACTCAGCAGAGAAAGCAATGAAGGGATTGGTTCAAGAACGCATATTGCGAATCAAATTATGGAGCACTTACATAATCCTAGTGTTGGTATTGTCGGATTGTGTGGGCTTGGTGGTGTTGGCAAGACCACTATAGCTAGAGAGGTAGCAAAGAAGGCGAAGAATCAAAACATGTTTGAAAAGGTGATCATGGCAACTGTTTCTAATGAATTCAACGTTGACAAGATTCAAGGCCAGATTGCAGAGAACCTGGGTATGCAGCTCAATGAAAAATCTGAAGGAGTAAGAGCTCGTCGTCTGTGTGAGAGATTGAAGCTAGAGAAGAATATGCTCCTAATATTGGATGATCTTTGGAAGGAACTTGATTTGGGCGAAATTGGAATTCCCTTTGTTGATGTTGGAAGTTATAGCAAAAAGAATGAAGGCTGCAAAATTTTACTAACTTCAAGGAATAAGAGTTTGCTGTCAAATGGCATGAAATGTCAAGAAATTATCGAAGTGGGTGTTTTGTCAGAGGATGAAGCATTAGAGTTGTTCAAGAGGATTGCTGAACTTTCTAATGACTCCAGCAGTCCTGACTTGATATTTATAGCCACTGAGATTGTTCGAAAGTGTCATGGCTTGCCACTACCGATTGCAACAGCTGCCAAGGCATTAAGGGGGAAAAATCTAGATGAGTGGCAAGATTACTGTGCACGATTGAATCATCCTTTAAGGAGAAACATCACAGGAATTAAAGAGGTGGATGCCATATTGAAGTTGAGCTACAATTGTCTAAGCTCAGAGAAAAAACATATTTTCTTGCTCGCTGCCATGCTGTCCCATGATCCCTCAATTGAAGACCTGCTCATGTACTCTGTAGGGTTAGATATTCTTGATGGCATAGAAAACATAAAAGATGCCCACGTTGGAATCTCTGCTGCAGTAAGCAAGCTAAAATCATTAAACTTATTTCTTGATAGCTTTTCTAGTCATCACGTTACAATACATGACGTCTTTCGAGATGTTGCATTATCGATTGCACCCAATGAATTAAATGCATTCATTGTTAGGGGTAGAAGCTTGAAAAAATGGCCAGACAAAAATAAGCTTGAAGACTACAAGGGAATTTGCTTACAAAAGAGTCACATTGGTGACTTTCCAGAAGAGCTGCATGGTCCAAGATTAGAATTCCTTCTGCTAGACAGCACAAAACGTGATTTGTCCATATCTAGCATGTTTTTCAAATCATCAAAGGAGCTGAAAGTGTTGGCATTTACCAATGTGCATTTTTCGTCACTACCATCACTCATTTTCCTGCAAAAACTAAAAACTTTGTGTCTCCATTCTTGTTTGCTAGAAGACATAATTGAGGTTAGAAGCTTGAAGAGGTTAGAAGTCCTAAGTCTTGCTTACTCTGAAATTCAACAACTACCTATTGAATTGGCAGAGTTAACTTCTTTACAAATGTTGAATTTAGCCCATTGCTCCAAGCTCAAAGTGATTCCACCAAAACTGCTATCGGGCTTTAAAAAATTGGAGGTTTTGCACATGGGAAATAGCTTTGACCAGTGGAAAGTTGAAGGATCTACTGAATCTAATGAAAACGCAAGTCTCGACGAGTTGAAGGGCTTGCCAATCTGTTCTCTAGATATTCATATTCCTCTTGCCTCTATGTTGCCGGAGAATTTGTTCTTAGATATGAATTTGATGAGATACAAAATTCTCATTGGGAAGCATTGGGACTGGAATGTCAACTATGAAAGTTCAAAGATATTGAAACTTGAGCTTAAGAGCAATGTCCATTTGAAGCCTGGAGTTCGAAAGTTGATGAAAGGAGCTGAAGATTTGTGTTTATATGGATCTAATGGGCTTGAAAATGTTCTACAGGGTCATGATGGAAGATCATTTCCACATTTAAGGCATCTTCAGATTGAAAGTAACGATACTATTGAATCTATTGTTTTGAACTCAGCACGTCATGAAGAAGCAACAAATAACGTATCCAATAAAATGTCTGAGTCACTTTTGAACAAGGTATGTCAGATTATTTTATTCACATTTTTTCTTATTATATCTTCCTACAAAACTTCGCTTCAAAGTTATATGTAAAAATCATTTTCACTAGAATTACTTGCTTTGCTGTTAGGCTATTATGGAAGGATGTAGCTTTCTATTTTTTTTAACGACTTAAAATTAGCTAATAAAAGAGAAAGCTAACTCCAAGTATTAAAATAAATAATGAAGCACTCAAATTATTCGTCAGCCTAAAAACAAATTAATTTGATATTTTTGAGAATTGTCCCTGTCACTAAAATATCTGAGAATGTAGCTCGTGGTTTTGATGACTAACCATTGTGATAAAACTTTGGAATCCCTTTTCAACAATATGGTATTTTCATGTTGCTTTAACTATTCCTTTTTTTTTTTTGTTTTAACTTTTCGACAAAACTTTGGAATTATTTACTTTGCTATCCGGCTATTATGGCATTTTTCAAGTTTGTTCTTCTTGTTTTGTTCTCTCTTTTTTTTGTAACATATCTACAAAAATTACATTCACTAGAATTACTTACATTGGCATCAGGCTCGCTACAATAGCATTTTACAGTTTTTTTTTTTAATTTTTCAATTACTTTATTTTTTTGTCTTGAATTTTCATATTGAACTTTCAGCAATCTCTTGAATAATATTGTGGTGGTTGAGAGTTTATCTAGATATTTAAACAATCTTTCATCAAAAGTAAGCCTACGAACTAAAAGTGATTTTCATTTAATCATATTTTTTGTGAACTGCAGGTGTTGCTTTCAAAATTAGAGATATTGCAATTATCTAATTCGATCGATTTGATTCCAATGATATGGGATGACCAACTTTCACACAACTCATTTGGGAACTTGAAAACATTGTTTGTGAAAAATTGTGGCTTTGTGAAATTGGTGCCTCTTCGTGTGATGAAATCTTTAAACACCTTGGAAGAACTAGAAGTTAGGAACTGTGACATGTTGGAGTTGGTGTTTGATTTTGAAGATTTGAGTGATTATACAGAGGTGGAGTCATCATCAGTGATTGTGCCACTGAAAAAGTTAACGCTATCTAGTTTGCAAAAGTTGAAGAATGTGTGGAGCAATCACTATGAAGCAAATGTCTCCTTCCCAAGTCTAAGGAGCGTGCATGTTTCCTCTTGTGAAAGCCTCACAAGTCTGTTTCCTGCATCTATAGCCAAAGGCATGCTTTGTGATCTTGAAGAGCTTCGAATAGAATATTGTGGTATAGATGTGATTGCTGCGAAGGATCAAGTTTCAGAATCTGTTGCTCCTCTGTTAGAGTTTCCTAGGCTGACTTTCCTTAAGCTTTCTGGCCTTAAAAATTTGAGGAATTTCTATCCACAGAGACACACATTAGAATGGCCACACCTTTGTCGATTATCTATTAGAAGTTGTGATGAATTGGAGATATTTGAAAAGGAAGTCTCAAGTTCATTAGAAATACACGAGGAAGGGAGCTCATTAGACTCAAAATATCCTCTACTGTCCCATGACAAGGTACATCTCTAAATTAGCTATTCATGTGTTATTTATTTTAAAAACAATCTAATAAAAGAGCAAAAAATAACTTTAAGCATTAAAATAAATAATGAAACATATTTTGTTTCACAATCCAAGAGCACGTTTGAATTTGATATTTTTGAGTACTCAAGTATGTGAATTATTCCTGTTACTAAACCATTTATTAGAATATAATGTAGTTTAGGATTAATTTGGTTATTCACTTAAAAAGCTAAAAAAGAATAATTCATAATAATTATTTTAATTAATAATAGATATTAGAAATTAATTAAATAATTTTCTATTTTTTCTTTTTTAAAAAAACTGGGACTCCATTTCTTGGCTTTTCATCTTCACCGAAAAGAGGTGTGTCATTGAATCAAGGGAGGAGATTTTTTTTTCTTCCTTTTTTCAAACCATTATTAGCTTTAATTTGATATTTTTTTTTTAAACAAACGAAGGAAGAAATAACTTTTGTATGTCATAATCAAAGATAGAAACTCCAGTCTAGAAATTTATATTCATTTTAACGTATCATAATTATTATTTGTAGTTACAAAATACATGTACATCAAAATTGTGGATGCATCAAATTTAAATTTGAAGATATCCTCCTAAAAAAATGCACACGGCTGGATTTTGACGCATTGATTAGTTGTACATTTAGTTATGATTTATGTATTGTGCAGGTCACTCATAATTTGGAGGAGTTGAGATTGGATGGTAAAGGAGCTGAGATGATAGGGAACGGCCAGCTTTCAACCTACCACTTCCCCAAAGTGAAGTTGCTTAGTCTAGATGTTGGTTATAAAGCAACGACTATTTCATACAAATTGTTGTTGAAGGGCTTTCCAAATTTAGAGGAGCTGAGATTGGCGGGTCACATTAAGGAGGCTTTTGGCAGAGGGGATGATGTCCCCCTTCCAATAAAATTGACTCTTGTCTGTATTTCCAAAATCACAAGCTTGGCACCACTCTTAGTTTCTCCACCAAATCTCACACATCTCCACGTGATGTATTGTCATCAGTTGACCACTTTGATGACATCATCAGTTGCTCGAAGCTTGGTCCATCTCACAAGTCTCTCAATTATCCATTGCTTTGAAATAAAGGAAATTATATGGAAGCAGGAAGGAGAGGATGACGACGATGAGGAAGTCGTTTTCAGCAAGTTGCAGTATTTGAACCTCGAAAGCTTACCAGGATTGAGGAGATTTTGCGGCTACAATTATACTTTCAAGTTTCCATTATTGGATCAGCTGATCATAACAGAATGTCCGAAATTCAAAGTATTCTCTCCAGGGCTCATTGAGACACCATCTCTTAAAAGAGTTCAAGTGTCACAAAATCGGAGGGTAAAACATCATGAAATTTGGGACCCCAATCTTAACAAAACATTCTACCAACAGGTACGTCTAGAATGCTCCATTCTTCCTATTTCCAGCTTTTACAAAAATATGAATCTATAAATGTTCCATTGTTATGAGATTTAATATAAATATACATGTTTCGGTTTTGAAGTTTCCACTAAAATTTTAGTTATCATTTTTTAATTACTTAACTTTAATTACAAAACACCCCAAAAACATCCCAAACAATTACATCATAATTAATTAATTAATGGGATACATAGCGAAATGTTTCAGTAATAAATGAATATTTTCCCCCAGATATACCTCTATTTATGAAGGAAAAAGTAAGAGAGAGAAAGAGTAATAATGAGAAAAAATATGAAAGATAAGATAATATACCAAGTTGTCAGCCTTTTAATTAATGCAATGTATAAAATTAATTAAAGACAAAAAGGGTAAAAACACATTAAATGTTCAGACAGATTCAACTTGGCTCTTGTAAAAAAAAAAAAACTAAGACAATTCAAATTTCAAATTTTTATAAAAAGAACAAGAGGGAGTAGTTATCATTTTTTTAATTACATAACTTTAATTAGAAAATATCCCAAACAATTACGTCAGAATTTAATAATTAATCCGATACACAGGGAAATGTGTCGGCATTATTGTTTTTTGTTATGGCTCATATAATTATTTCTTTTCCAAGATTAATTATGAAAAATAAATGAAATCAAAATGTTTCGCACTTCTAGTGAGCGCATTTGATCTTGGGACACAATTAAAAACAAAATAATATTACTGATTCAATAAGAAGTTGCGACATAATTAATAAATTAATATTACCATGCTTCTGACTCAATATCTGTTTTACAGAGATTTGTGACATCAAGAGAGATGGTGTTAGATGAGGATGATGTTAGCATGATAAGGAATGACCAATTTCCAGCGGATTGTTTTGCTCAAATGGAAATTCTGCGCATAGAAGGATTTGATGATGAAGGGGCAACATTTCCGTATACATTGCTTGAAAGATTTCCGCAGCTGAATGAACTTTGTGTGGGGGATAGTTCTTTTGAGGAGATATTCCCATCACCCATTGTTCATCAAAATCAACTTCTTCATAATTTGACAGTGCTGAATGTGTTCCAATGCCATCAGCTCATCTATTTAATGACAAATTCAGCCGCCAAAAGTTTGGTGAATCTTGAAACACTGCATATATATGATTGCGAAAAGATGGAGAAAATTGTAAAAAATGAGAATAATGATGATGTGGAAGGTGGAATCACGTTCAATGCGTTGAGAAGATTAGAACTCAGTAGTCTACCAAGATTGAAAGCGGAAGAGCATAAAACGGATTTCAACATTGAAGACCCAGCAACAAATAATCATAAGGTATGTTCAAATCAATTTACAGTAACATATACTAACTAGCCTTGTGTTTTACCAAGTTATAGAAACCTTCCCTTTGTTTCAAAAATATATGTATAACTCCCTTAAAATTAAAATGCATGTTGCACAAACCTTCCTCATATATTTGATTTGAAATTCCATTTCCATCCACCCCACCATAAGGTTACAGTTAAGTTTGACCTTTAAACTTTATTTTGACCAAAATACCCCTCCTTCACATAAAAGTTATTTAAACATTCATTTTTTTGCAAAAATAATTTTTAATACCACAAAAAATAATTTTAATACATGTATTTTCAGACTTTTTAAAATGTAATAAAATTTGTTAATTTTAATTCTATTATAAAATTTTATAATTTTAATTGTTTGTCGCGCATATTGAAATTAATTTTTTAGGTTTATTTAAATGGCTAAAAAATATGTTGAATACATATTCTTTTCGTCATATAATATAGATTATCTAAGTTTGATAGATTATAGAAATTATTTAAATTTATAGTTTAAAATTTTTAAACAAATGAGAAATATTTATAACTTATTTAGTCAATTATATATTTATTTAAAGAATTAACCAAATTTCCGCTCACTAAATTACTTATTTTCAATCCTAATATGATAAAAACGTTGAACAAATAACTAGCTGCAAAAAGTGAAAAAAAATTAAGGAAAAGAAAATATTTTAAATTTTTCAAAATTTTAATTAGAAAAGTATCTTTTTAGAATATTCTCTACAGATTTAACTATTTGGACTTGAGTTTATGCTTTCAAAATAGATGGAAAATTTGTAATTAGGGCAGAATATTTTACTCATCAATTTATTACTGTTTTTCTGGACAAAAATTCATTTTTTTTTCTTATCTAGTATATTCTTTCCTTGCCAAGCTTTTCTTATTTTATTAACTTCTTATTTTCAAACTTACGCTGTGAAAATTAATTTCATTGGAATTATTTACTCTGTTCAGTAAAAATATGTTCTTATTTTTTCTTGTCCCAATATATCTAAAAAAATTATTTCACTTAAATTACTTACTTTGGTATTAGGCTAGCTATTGTAGCATTTTATAGTTCTCTTGTTTTTCAGTTAGTTATTTCTGTTTGGTGAACTTGAAATTTGAAGTTGAACTTTTATCAATCTCTTGAAGAATTTTGTGGCACACAAGAGCTATACTTGCACATTTAAACGCTCTTTCATGAAAACTAAGCCTCACAAATCAACAGTGACTTCGTTTTCGTTTTTTGCCAAAACATTTTCGTTTAATTATATTTTCTTTCAACAGGTGTCATTCCCAAAGTTAGAGATATTAAGATTACACTCTTTAAACAGTTTGATTCCACCGATATGGGATGACAAACTTCCACACCACTCATTTAGCAACTTGAAAACATTGACTGTGAGTTGCTGTCGCTTTGTGAAATTGGTGCCCCTTCATGTGCTGAAATCTTTAAACAACTTAGAAATACTGGAAGTCATTTGCTGTAAACTGTTGGAGACGGTGTTTGATTTTGAAGATTTAAATGATTATAAAGAGATTATGTCATCATCGATGGTTGTGCCACTGAAAAAGTTAAGGCTAACAGATTTGCCAAAATTGAAGAATGTGTTGGGCAATAATGACCGCCAAGGAGAAATAAACTTAGTTTCTTCACTAGATGGTTCATGCCATCAAATAGAAGAACTCATGACGAAACAGAAAAAAGAGGACAATGAGGACAAGAAAATCATTTTCAGCAAACTGGAGTTTTTGGAACTTCATGTGTTACCAAGATTGAAGAGATTTTGCAGCCAAAATTATACTTTCAAGTTTCCATTATTACAATGTGCCATCTTAACAGAGTGCCCTCAACTCACAATATTCTGTTCTGGAGCCATTCATGCCCCGCTGCTTCAAAAGGTTCGAGTGACGACTCGATATGGACCTCACATGGATATTTGGATGACTGATCTTAATGCCACCATCCAACATCGACTTACTATTCATGAGGTTAGTCCAACATACTGATATTCTTGTTTTTCACTTTTTAAATAATTCCTCATCATCTCCAAAATTAGAGGTTCAGATAAATATCTGACATAAATATTAAAGTTTGGACATTCCGTCATCTACCCAAAAATTGTAAACTTTTCATCAAATTACAAGACCCTGATTGCACGCGAAAGCTGATAAGCAAATGATAATTAATGGATGTGGCAGACTGCAAAGAGTAATAATGTTTGTAGATCGCTGACTGGAAAGAAATGGGCCTACAAAGTGATTCAAAGAATTTTGTTTCTGTTTAAAGTGATTTTGAGGAGGGGAGGGGGGATTAATAATGAAAAATATAAGTATTAGAAAAAGATGACAGGTCAATTAAGAAAGATTTTATCTACAATTATATAAGAAATTATTATTTTAAAAAATATTCTGACTTGATTTATTAAATTGCCTTCTTATAATAATAATTTTACCAATAATCATTTTACATGTTATTTTCATAGTCAAAAAAGCCTAGCCTTAAATGTGAATTAGAAGGGGATTATGGTCTTTTTTTAATTTAATTTAGAGAAAAGAAAGGGGGTTATGAAGTTAATTTAAAGGATTCTTTAAATTTTAATGTGTGGATTTTATTTCATGGTGAAATGATGAAAATTTAGATATTGGCAAAAGATGAGTGATCCATTTAAAAAGTTTTGGTTCTTGAAAACAATATCCTGATGTAAGATGTAATCTACTAAATCGCCTACTCATTATGGTAATTGTTTTATTAATTATCATTTTATAGGTAATTTCCACAACCGGAAGCATGGCTTTAAATGCAGAAAATATCACGATGATAAGGGATGTCTTTCCTGAAGTGAGAACTCTTTATGTAGAAAGCTTCAAGGATGAAGGGGTAACCTTTCCCTATAGCTCCCTTGAAAGATTTCCCATGTTGAAAAAGCTTTATGTGGAGAATAGTTCCTTTGAGGAGGTACTCCCCACACAAGATGAGATTATTGATTTTATGGGGAAAATCCCACCATTTGAGGAATTACACATTGCCTATTTGGATCAACTCAAGAGCATATGGAAGGATGACTCTCAGCTACCACCAATTCATCAAGACCTAATAAAATGCCTGGACGTTGAAAGTTGTCATAGCTTGGTCAAGTTGGCACCATCCTCTGCTTCATTCCAAAATTTGCGAAGGTTGTCTATATTTGGATGCCATCAACTCGTCTATTTGGTGACAAGTTCAATTGCCAAAAGCTTGGTGAGACTTGAATGGTTGGGGATAAACGATTGTAAAAAAATGGAGGAAATTGTATTGAATGAGAACAATGAAGGTGTAGAAGGTGGAATCACTTTCAACCGATTACAGTGGATTGAACTTACTGATATGCCAAGCTTGAAGACATTCTCTTCAAAAAGTCAGAAATTTGAATTCCCTGAATTAGAAGTGATAGAAATAATTGGATGCCATGAAATGAAGATGTTTTGTCCAGGAGTGTTGGAAACACCAGAGTTGTCTAGAGTAAAAATAGAAGAGCATGAGATGAAATGGATGGATAAAGGGGACCTTAACAAAACAGTAGAAATGCTATCCTCAGCAAAGGTATGACATACCCACACTAACAAATATTTTTTCGGAAAATGTGTTGTTAATGACCACGGAACAATCGTGCTCATGCCAACGACGTCTCTTTTCAAAATTGCCTTCTATTTTAGGCAGCTAATATTATGATTTGTTATTGCAGGATAGTGTTAATATATAGAAGGGTAAGGCCATCAACCATGTTATCGTTCTTTCCAGGTTTGTTACTTTTATGATTTTTTCTGCTTATTGTCTGTTTTGTTTTTCCTAGGGGTTATTATGATATGAATAAAAGCCTCGTATATGAGGGGACAAGCATTGAAAATAAAAAAACTTGCATCTCTTTTTTTCTCCCTATACGCCAAATTTTTTCTTTTTCTTAAATTATTTGCATGTTTTTGCCACATTTGTCTGTGCTTTATTATCACTAAAAGATATGAGTTGCTTATTGAAGTTTATTTCAATTTCTTTTCCAATAGTAGTTACTATAATATCAACAACTACTACACATTAAAGGATGAAACAGGGAGCCATCTTTTTGTGAGTGTGAGTGTGTGTGTGTGTGTGTGTTTTTTTTAACTTTTTTGTAAAATTTTTCTTTGTTTCTGTACATTCTCTCTGTATAGCATCGGTTGAGTTAGTGAATCACTTTTGCTTGTTTTAAAAAGTCAACTGTGATTAAGAAGAAAAGAAACAGCTGTTGTATTTCAAAAAGGATGATTTTGATAATTTGTTTACCCCAACTATTTAAACCATGTTTTCAACTAAATATGATATATATTTACAAAATAGAAGATAAAAACAGAGGGGCTGTTTGTTTCTGTTTTTTTTATTTTTTCCTCAAAATAGTTTTATAAAATAGTTTTTTAAAACAAGTTTTGAAACAAAAAAAAATCTGCTTGGTTAATTGTTTCAAAAAACTACATTTGAAAATAAATATATTGAGACTGGAAAGTGAAGTTTCAGTGAGAACTCTACTGGTCAAAAAAAAAAATATGAGAACTCAAGTTTTTAAATAGACAAAAAGCCATTAAGTAGAGAAAAAAAGGTTTTCCAATTTTTCCAAACAAAAAAAATAGGAAATGTGAAAACAAAAAGAAGAAAATAATTAAAAGTCTTTTTCGTTGTTGAGTTTTTAAAAATATTTCTGTTTTTTCGTTTTTAACAACACTTAATTAACAACAAATTACAAAACAAGCCTTGTTAATTTTTTTTATTTTAAAAACAAAAAACAGTTTTCAAA